CTCTTTTTTCAGCTGAAGAGACCCAAGCCCCTCAGCTTTTCCCCATATGGCTTGCCTTGCAAGTCTCTGATCATATGGGTGGCTCTTCTCTGGACTCTCTCAAGCTTTTCCACATCCTTTTTTAAGTGTGATGCCTAGAACTGGATGCAGTACTCTGGCTATGGCCTCACCAATGCTGAGTCAAGCAGAAGAATCACTTCCTTGGTTTTTCTTGATGCTAGCAATGGAACAGTATTGTGACTGTTTCCTACCCTTGTTAAAATCTCTTGAAATTTAGCCACATTGTATGCTTCTGGGGAAAAAATTAATCATGGGACACACTTAATAGAAACTTTACCAGAAACTAATTCAGAGAAATTATTAAAGCAGCGATTCTCAACTGGGTGACTGAAGGTCCTGTTAAGGGTGATGCACCACATGGCTCCTGTGAGAGGAGGTAAAAGCTCTTCTCCTTTAGTCTGGTGCCCTGCGCCTGCCCCAGCTACTCAGCAGTGCCTGGGGCTACTCCTTTGAGGACTGTGGCAAACACTGGACACGCCCCCCCACCCTGCATTCATGCCAGTTGCCACCACAGTCCCAGCAGTTTGTTCTGTTGTGGGCAGATGTGGGGTCTGAGCTGCACTTTGCAGCCTGGCTGCAGTGGTGGCCTTAAGGGACCTGGGAAAGAGAGTCATTTGGGGCCCTGTAGAGGCTTAATTTTAATGTATAAGGAAATTAGACAATTTCAATTTAACTTTGCCCTATCCATGAAACTGCAATGAAAGTATCTTAATACAATACTGATAATACAAATATTCAATGTAATTAATTTTTATTTTTATAAAGTGTGGGGCCCCAGGTGGTTGCCCATTTGCCCTCCCCTAGGGCTGCTACTGCTGGCTGTTCCCTCTGTTCCTTCCATGCTCCCAGGACCAGAGAAAGGAGCTATGGGGGCAGGGGCCAGTATGTGACCCCTTGTAGGAGCAGCCTCTGTGGTGGTGACTCCAAGCATGGACTGGGGGCAGGAAAAGGGAAGATGATAGAAAATGCCCCGTGCCTTCACCTGACACCTGCTAGCTCAGTAGGTCTTAACCTTTTTAGTGTTAAGATACAGCTCCATCTCTTTTCTGAATGTAGCTTGTAACTCAGTGATTCTCAAGTGGGGTGCCATGAAATTCAAGGAAATTATGGAGGGGGCCTTGAGGCTAAAACCATTTATGAAGCACATGGAAAGACTTTACTTGGAAAATTAATAGATGGAGCATCTATACATGCATAATAAGATGAAGCAATAAACTCCATTGCATGTCACACCAGAGTTTACTGCTCCCAGGTGCCACCAGCACCTTGAGTTGGGTCAGAGCAGCCCCAGCTTGCAAGGGGCAGGGGAGGGAAGGTCAGCCTCCCAGCCCGGAGCCGTTCCACCCTGGCTCAATATGCTGTGGTGGGCCTGGCTGGGGCACATGGGTGCTCCAGCATGGGACTAGCCCAACAGGTAGTGCTCCAGCCAGCTCGGCTAGCGATTACCCGTGTGCTGCTGTTCACGAAAAATCTCTGCAACAGGATAGTACTTGTATTTACAAGTATGAACCTGCTGTAGAGTTTATTAGTTTCCTGTGGCCAAATAGGGCCACACGTATAGACACCAAGATGGGGCAGAGCTAATTAGGCAACTCGGCAGTAAACCTCCTGTGTAGACTGCCCAACAAAGTACAAGATGCAGCAATGTAAGAAACTAATGCAAACAAGGGTTCTGTACTCCCAGAGAAAAAGAAAAATGCCTGGAAATATATGACTAACTTGGGTCCCCAAGCTACTGTAACAAAGTTCTCAAACATCCCTCTAGATAGAGAAGATATCCAGTGGATATCCAGATGGGGATATAAACACAACACAAATTGAGCCTTGCAATACCTCTGTGAAGTTTTTTCATTATCCTCCCACTCTGAAGGAGCAACTGAGGCAAGTATGCAGTGACTTTCCTATGGTCACCTCCTAAATTAGGTTTCAGGGGGTGTAACCAACCCCTGGGGGGCCAAACTGCTATTTTCTATAAACAATGGCTCTAGGCACAAGGCTATTAATATCTGTTGTGTGGACAGGCAAAAGGCAGTATTCAAGCTAGAAATAACATCAGTCTGCTCTCTCAGTACCCTACTTTCTAAGTTATCCCCATCCTTTTTCCCTTCAGGACATTTCAGACAGGGCAGTGTTGCCACTGATGTGCGTGAGTTGCAAATTTAGTATGTTCTTGTTAATAGCTCAGTTGGTTAGAGACTTGTGCTTATAATACACAAGGTTGCAGGTTTGATTCCTGGGCTGGACTAGATGGGGCTTTCTTGAAGTCCCTTCCAGGTGTATTCCTCTATGGAAGTAACAGATTCAGCAAGTTAATGACCTGGATAGAGATGAGAGATTTCAGCAGCAGGACTATTTTCAGGTTGAAATAGAATAAGTAGGTTCTCACTAGGAAAAAAAAGTTACCTGAGTATGGAGTTGAGGAAGTGAGGCCTTTTCAGGTTAAGATATATTTGAAAGAGGTAATGAATCATCCTTGTTCTTCTGCATGGGGCCACTGACAGGGCGCTTTCCTGTTGAATTTCTGGAGAAGCAGTTGTACACTGATGTGTATCCTTTTCTGGTCAGGGGGCAGAACCTCTTGGTGTGAGCATTCTCCTGCGTGGCCCCGCATTGTGGGCAGATGTAGTTCTTTAGGATTGGACATGCCACCCTTCCTTCCTTGTCCTTCAAATTGTGAGAGGTGTAGATGTGTTTTGATTCCCCATTGTGCTTGCAAAAGGCACAGAGAGCGTTTCCTGTCCAGGTCCCAGAGGAAATGTCTTGTCTTCTGAACCTGGGACTCTCCATCTCATCATCAGAAGTGGCTGCCATCTGCAAGCTGTCTCCTTTGCTTTGCTGTTTATGAATCTCTTCCACCACTTCTGCCAGTCCCAAGTAATCTTTCCAGATGTTAAACTGTTCCATGTTGTATTTCCTAGGAAAACTTGCATGTGTTGGGGAGTAAAATAGCCCCATGTGATTTTGTTTTCTGAAGGGGCCATCAGTGAGACTTCAGAAGAGCCAATCACATTTTTGGAAGTCTACCTGAATCTGTCAGTCAGCTCCCTCCCCCACTCCACCTCCCTCTGCCTGGAGACAAAGAGTCTGGGTTGTCTCCCCCCCTTTTCTGTGATTTCAAAAGGGGTCTCTCAAATAAAAGTCTTCAAGTTAAATATGCTGCAATATCCTGGAGTTTAAAAGCACATTCATGCCTGTGTTTTACTACAAGCATCAGGAATTGCAACAATTTTGCAAAAATGCTGCAATCACAAGTAATATTTCAGAAGAGCTTTTTCTTTGGAATGGCAACTAAAATATGCAAGAAACATTTGTCTGTAAATGTTGCTGCCTCAGCTTCACTTCTGCTTAATTCCTTATCCATTTCTTCTTTTACTTTCATCTTGACTATTGCAGCTTTTTCTTATGCGGCTGCTGCCATTCGCAGCTCTCCAGACTCTTCAGTACTACATCCCACTGTCCAGATCCCTTCACATATGGACAAATGAATGCAGCAGAACTGTGAATAGCAGCTTTTTGTGATTCAACTTTTTTTTAAAACTAAAGTAAATATTTGGATTTTTGCCCCTTTTTTTTGGCAATGTTTGAATTCTAGGCCTAACTGGACTGGATTAAACTTGTGTCCCCTTTTACATTTTACAGATCCTAACCTTGCCATCCTTGCTGAACCAATAGGAGGGTCACTGAAGAAAAGACATGCATGATTGAGCCCATGACACCCATGACATCCATATTCCCTCCCACCTTGAAACTGCTCTCTCAGATGCCCACACCTCTAAGTACTGTCATTCATCAGCTGAAATCAACCCACTGTAAGAATGAGAAAACCTCAGCAGATTTCCTTCTCATTGGAATTGATTTTCAAGCAGCAAACAGGAAGCCAGTCAATAAAGATCACTTTTCAGGGAGCAGCTGAAAAGCTCAGAAATCTCTTTTTTCAAAATCACTAAATAACAAGCCTATGGAGTCAAACCCTGGCCACGGACAAAATCTTGGGGCCTGTACTAACCACTAAACATTCTTCGTTGCATGACACTGGGGATTCACTGTTTTGGGTTTCAAAAGTATGATCTGACCAAGGGTGAAAATGGCAATGAATTCTGCTGAGATGTTCATTTAACGTTTGAAGGATGTTATTAACTTTATAGCTAAAGCTTTCTAAAGCATCTGCCTCTGACCCCTTACCTTCAAGTCACACTAGTAAATGAGAATCTTTGTAAGACATGTGGTAGCTGTCTACAAGAATCTGATGCTTCCAGGAAGATAACAGGATTATTTAGGACAATCTAAGGCGGTGTAATACATAAATAATAAAAAGAAATGAAAGGTGAATATCTGTAAAGTCCTAATGGTAAGATCAGTGGAATAATCTCTTCAAGGCAGATAGTTGCCTATCTGTCCTTTTATTCCATGACCATCGATGTGGTTTCTGAGTGCCTATCTGAGCCTCCTAGCTCAAGGCTTTTAAAGCTAAACAAGGCACTTGTTTGTTGAGAACACACATACACTAATTGGAGTATAGACTAGCTGGGAATAAACCCCTATTAGGTCTTTTGTATTTAACTTCCATGCTGACTGAAGTGAATGGGGAGTGCAAGCATTCAGCACCTGTGAAAATCTGCCCATTAAGGTCTTAAAGAAAAGACTTCACAGCTACTCTGAAATTCTCTTGCCTTTGTCATGCATGCCTGGATGAGCTCATCTTGAAAGGTCCTAAGTGCTCAGAATGAAGGGTTGTTCCAAGGGTTTGTGAGCAAAAAATCAGGAGACCAAGTCCATCCACCAGCCTTCAAGCACCAGGGCTGGTACAGTAATGTGTCTGTTCCAATCACAGTTGCATTCATTGATCCGTGAGTTTTCCCTTCAGCATCACAACCCACCGACAGCAATGAATGTTGATTGTGACTTTTTGGGCTTCTGGGAATCTTTGCTCAAGCAGCACAGGAACAGAGCAGGGACATGGAGAATAATCAGAAATAGCAGCTCATGTTTCTACAGCAGGAGCATCTCACAGAGCATTAGAAATGTTAAAAGATTAAACCTCAGTCTTCTGGGTAGGAAGGTCAATATTATCCTTGTTGCAAGGATGAATGAAACGGAGGCACAAGGAAGGGAAAGCGATCGACCTAGGGACAGAACACTGGGAGTAAAAAGTACCCTTCTCTAATTCCAGAACCACACCTTTGCTCACAGGGAAAATATGCCTGTCTCTTCAGACAGTTCCAGTTCTAAATTGCAGAGTTGCAACAGCTTCTGAGGAATCTTATAGTACAGCTATCATGAAGCGCTGAGAGCAAGTAGTCTTGAGTTAAGCCCAAATGGAAGTAACAATTCCACTTGCTCACAGGTTAACTATCAAAAGCTTCTCTAAACTAGGTGCTATCTACAAGCAGCAAACTGGGTGCTATCTACATCGTGAAGCTGACTGGAATAGCCATAGCTGTTCCAGAATAGAGCTCCATGTGTCCTATTCCAAAATAAAAGTGACCATATTCTGTCGTGTCACTAATGTTCTCGATAAGGATGGCGTTTGAGTGATAAAATCCTAAATAATTACTCTACTTTGGAAACATGCAACCTCTTCCAAAACAAAGTAACTTTTAATCTAGAATAGCATGGCCACACAAGGAAAAATTTTGGAATAAATTACTGCAGAACAGTTTTTCTGAAAAGTTTTACTGTGTGAAGAAGTGCTAATATTGACATATATTAAATCCAGTTAGCTAAGTCAACTGAATTAGCACTTTTGAAGACAAAGCAATTGTATTTTATAATGTGCTATGTTTAAGTGAAGGCTATTTTAGGGAGACTGTTTTTAAGCCTAAATCCTTCAGTTCAGGTGTTACCAAGGTTGCAGGGTACACTCAACGGTCGATGGTTTAACCTGACTGCCAAAACTCACCGACAGCGTTGAATGTTCGCTGAAACCTTTGTATCTCTTGCTAGTTCAGGCTTCACATAGTGTTTGGTTTTGTAAGGTGCTGGGATACATCTGACTGGTTTGCACTCCTCTTAATTCTTCCCGACCCTACCTCTAGTTCACTCACTCCCAAATGCATCTTCTGAGGATATTTTCCATTCATGCTCCTCTTATCATGGTTCCTGACTTCTTAAATACACATATTTACTATTCAGTCCATCCAGGAAGAGCACACACCAACTGCAGAGGCTTCCTCAGCCTGGCAAAGGGTTTTTAAACCTGAAAGCTTGCTAAAAAAATTTTTCCCCAGCTATTTAATTTGGTCTAATAAAAGATGTCAGATTCACCCAAAGAACCTTGTCTGTCTAAATACGCATATCACTTCCTTTTTTAATTCCAAATAACATACTGGCTTCTCCTATCCCTACTCCCCAGTCTTCACCCTTCCACACCAGCTCTTTTCCTTGCCTCCTTGTCCACTTCTGTATGTAGCCCCACACATGGAGATTAGCTTCCCCATTCATGTATACCACACTCCCACTTCAGCCCTGCTGAGTCGGTAAAAAGACAATGGCCAGACATCTCTGCGTAGGTGATGTGGTGCGTTGCTCAGTTTGCTTTTGCTTGTGCTTTGAAGCCTATTCCTATAAACACAATTGCACACAAAATTTATTGCCCGGGCTTCATTGAAGTACTCCCATTGAAATCAAGGCTATTAATTGTAACAAGTCCTCCCAGGGTCAAACGCCTTTGGATCAAGGACCTGACATGCATTCACCACTGACCTTCAACACTGTAGAGGCATATGAATTGCAACACTACATACAGTACATCGTTATTACTAGTTCAATTTAGCTAATTCAGTCCAAATTCTGTGACTTCTCTCTCTGGAACGGTTCTTTCTTGTGTGATTTTTATGGTGAGGGATGCACTAGAAAAGTTTAAAATAAAGAGATTAGCTGCTAGATCACAACACAGAGAGAAATAGATGATATAAATAGATAAGATCCCAGTACAGATAAGTGCTAGCAACAGCGCTGCCACAAAAATGAATATTCTTGCTACATAGTGACATGTGCAGGAGTAGATGCTATAGCTGGACATTACAATATTAACAGTGCAGCCATTAAATACAATACGTATTGGCCTGTGGGCTCAGGACTCAAGGACTTGCATCCTGATAAAGGGCTGTGCAGATAAAGCTTGTAATTTTTCAGCAACTGTGCTGTCATACAGCTTGTATTGGCCCCCTAATGGGCCCAGTTGTGAAAGGCTGATCTGATGTGTAGATCACAGCAGGTAGAGACTACAGCAATGATTCAATGTTTTATCCCAACTAGCCTCAAACGGCTTGTCACCTCTTCCCTTGGGCTTCTACAGAAAGGATGACTGAAGTCCTTGCAGACATGGAACTCACTGCTGGCTCTCTGTGCAGCAGATCTTGGCTCTCTTCCATGGGAATTCCAGCAATGTTCGGCTTCAGACTCTCCAAGTTAGCTTCTCAGCAGATGGCATTCCAAGCTGTGCCATTCCCTGCATGCAAGAGATGGCTGATGAAAAAAGCTAATTGAAGATACAGCAGCATACCCCCTGTGAGCAAATCTTTATGCCATAAGCACATCTTTCCAGGTGACCCACATCCATTACTAGATGTTGTCTAGGAAGCCACCTTCCATATGTCAGCTCCATGCCCGAGGACAGTATACACTGGAAGTACTTATCTGGTACAGCTAAAGCAACATATAGCCAAGTTAGCCTCATGTGGACATGGCTTAACTACATTGTATACTGGTCAGAGATGAAACCTCCTCACCCCCTGACTCCTGCAAGAGTGTGAGAGCAACAGCAGAGCTAAGAAGTTTCCCAGCCATCTTAATGAGGTGTTGATGTCCAAGCATGAAGGGCAGTTTAAGAGGCCATTTAAACCTTTTAATTGTGCTGTTCACTGTTGCAGAAATACCTCTGTGAACATACACGAGGCAACTTGCTAAACTCAAATGGAAGGTGTTAAACTGTTGTTACTTAGAGCATTCAGTCAAATTAAGTAGCTCAAGTGAACTAGCTTCATTGAAAAAAAACAAAACAAAACAAAACACCTTTTTAATGGCCCAAACAAAGCTCCAAATACTAATCAAGACAAGGCTCCAGTTGCAAGGTTTTAATTAGCTGCTGAAAGCAGTGAAAAATCACACTCCCTCTCCAACACAGCTAGGCTGCTAAACTCCTGATGCGGGGGGGCTCTGACAAGTGAGTGCTTTTGTCAGCCATGCTTATGCCAGGAAAGGTAGTATCAGGCAGACAGAAAAATTGTCACCATACATTGTGTTTCTGGAGTGGGGGTGGCAGGTTGATCGGCCTTGCTCTAGCAGCAGAGACACTCATAAAGCCCTAAACCAGGTAACATGATCAAATGCCAGGTTAGCTATCTGATGTTAATTAGCAAGACAGAATCCCAGGGAAGAGAAGTCACTTTAATTTGCATTAGCAGGCTCAGGTAAACCCTATGCTGTTCCATTATCTCTTCCTTGAGCTGCCACCTCATGTCTCTGCATCTCAGCTTCCCTAGAGGTAAAGCAACTATTCTTTGCCTGCCTAGCACATGGAAGAATTGCAAAATGAGGTGACTTCAATTTGCATCTGAGGTCCTTGGATAAAAGATTTCAGACTATAGGGCTATTATCCTGATGTTCCTGCTTCACATCTTTTCAGGACCAGGAGTGTGCTAAGGGCTCAATCCTACCAGCTGCTGAGCTCACTCCGATCCCCCCAAAGTCACTGAGTTGAGGGGGTCTTTCAGTAATTATGCCATGCTAGACTCTTAAAATATTTTTTGTGCATTACTTAACTGTACCAGCAAGTGGCAGTGCAGCCCAGCCATCCTACTGCTGTGGTAGTAACAGCAGATTAGACTGAGGAGCCTCTCAAGGGAAATCTGCCTGCTTGCCCTATTTTTGTACCCATTCAGAAAATGTTCCCAATTAAGAGAGTGTAAAGAGACTGGTAGTCACTCTGTGTGTCTGGCAGGTGTGAAAAGCTGAGAGTTTGGAAAGGCAAAGTTCTTTGGGTAAATCAATTTGGAAAGTTTTTCTTCTTTAACCTGATAATATATGGATGTGGGTTTGAGGGTGTAAGAGAAACCCTCATGTGTTATACAGCTCAAAAGCTGCACCGATCTCACCTACGTGGTAGGTGAGGAGGAGTAGGAGAGTGAAGTCATCCAGACCAAAGCAATAAGAGCCTTTATAAACAGATGTGATCTATCTGTGGTTCTCTCATGTGTTCCTTTTGGTCTGCAGAAGCCTCAGATGTACCACTGACTTTGGATGCTGTGGGTTAGACCACTGGGGGCCAACCTTTCTGGCAGGTATGCCACAAATAGGCCTGCACCCTCCCAGAGTGCCACTCTGATCCCCACTCCCCTTGCCTGATCTGCTGCTCTGCTTTCAGCTTCCTCCCCTATGCTCACTCCACAATCTGCTGATCTACTTTTTGCTGCCTATCTGCCATTGTGCTGCCTGTCCTCTCCCTGATCTGCCACCTGCCACATACCTATGCCACAGGTTGGCCACCCCTGCATTAGACAGTACCACATGCTGGGCAGCAACCATGTGATATGGCATACTCCTGCAGCATAGCAGATTTCCTGGGAAAAAATACTCCAGCTGTGTGTAAACCTAGAACAATGCTGCACTGAATGTGTGGACAGGTTTGCGGGGCCCTGGTTTAGGAACGGCAGCCTTGTCATGGGGATGGGATTGTGCAGACCCTGGAAGCACTCTGTTAGCGGAGAACAGAGGCAGCCAGAATGCCTACAGGTAGGGACCTGGGGAAGCAGCCTCGACAGGAACAATGCACTTAGAAGATGCTCTCTCTGACTCAGTTGTGCAGAAGGGGGCTGGGCCATAGTTCTGCCTTTTCAGAAATCCTTCTTCCTTTGCAGTGTCTGGCAGCACTAAGGCTCCACCCAGACGTGTTCAGGGAGAACAAGTACCAGGGCTACAGCCATGGTGAGCAATCTCCCTGTACACTTTGACTCCAGGAGAAGCCAGGTGGTGTCTTTACACAGCACCTCTCCTACCACACCAGGCTTGATCCCCAGCTGGTGTGAAGCAGCATAACTGTAGAGAGGTGATCCCTCGATTCACATGACTAAAGGATCTGGCCCTATATAATCTGTATGTGTGTATTTACTTGCAAATACTTCTGTGGAGTACAAGCTGGTCAGAAATTGCCCTCAGAGCCACCTGGGTGTCTTCCCTGAAGCTGCTGGGACAAAATGGATCCTGGCCATTTTCTCTGAACCCAGCCACTCTTCCTTCTCTCTTGAATTTTGTTGCCCTCTCTGAATCCTTTTAAAATTCTAGTCCTGCTCTTTCCATTCCTCTTTGCTGGGGAGACGCCATGGTTACATGGTGTCAGAGAAAACCAGGGATTTATATTAACAATATGCAAAGATACTCAAAAAGTCTCTCTCTCTTTCTCTGTCTCTCTTCAGCACAAGCATTTCCCCCCCCCCACAACAGTGTGACAGGTTTTGCGTGCCGGTTCCATAAATTTCAATCAGATCCAGCCTCTTGCATATTTAATGCTGCTCTTGCCTGCCTCTTGCAATCTCTTTATATAAGACCCTTGGAGCATTATCCAGAGACACAGACGCAGCCCTCAGCTTCTCTCATATTAGCCAAACATGCTGTGTGTGTGCCGGGTGGGCCATCCCATCTCAGTAGGCAGGTCTACATGAGATGCTACTGCGGAGTAGTGTCTGAAAAAAAGCTGTGCGGGGATGGTACTGTGCAGTAACACTGGTTACTGTGCAGTCATTTAGTACTTGTTTATGCAAGTGCTAAATGACAGCACAGTAACAACTGCATAGTCTGCTGCTTGTGTAGACACGGCCAGCATTATGCTGGCAGTTTTCAGATCTCTTTGCAGCCTGGTTTCAGTGTGGGCTGAAAGGAGTTGGGGTCCTTGGATTAACTGTAAACTCAAGACACATAATGTCCTCTCAGAAATCTCCCACGGGTGGGAGCATTTGTAGTATTCAGGCAACGGGCTCAGTTAGGCCAAGATTTTACCCAATTTGATTAGGTTCTGTATACAACTAAAAGATCATAAGAGTCATGAATGGTAAGATATTGGGAAACAGACAGACAGACAGACACTCTCCAGTTATATGAAGCTCTGGGACATAGCTAGGAGGAAAGAGGCCAGAAAATGGGTACTCTTCCAACAGCATCATCTCCTCTCAAACCCACTAGAATTTTATAGTGTTTCCTTGCTCTTGTGAGTCTTCTGTGCAGCCATGCCTTTCCCATCACCCCTAGAAACATTTCCAGTCATAGAGAAAAGCTGTAAGGGGGAGAACAGGGACGTGGCATTAGGTGGAACAGGGACAAATCTGAGCTAACCAGAAATTGTCTGCAGCAGGCAGCACTTTGCTCTGATCAGCATCAGCTGATCCATCCAACTCACCTGCTTGTCACGTGGATGCTGCTACTATGAGCATCCATGTGGTTCTTGTAGCACTTGTATTTGCGGTTCTTGTATCTGGGGCTGAAGAGAAATGAATCCCTACTGTTATCCAATTGCCAGGCTATTTTTTGGGGGTGGGAGTGAGGGGGAGAGCAAGTGGCTTTCCAGATTCTCCTCCACTTACTGTCCTGAGATTGACTCTAAGCCTTTATTCACATCTACCCTGCCTTACAGGATAGCAGGATATAGCTGTACCTAAAACTGCTCAAAACTGCTTCAAAGTCAGTTAGAATAGTAGGAGACACTAGTCAGGATGCGATGGCAAGCCTCCCCTCACTAGAGGCTGTGTGTGCTTTCTTTATAGGGATCCTGGCACCTGACAGGACAGAATCTGAGCTGCCTGGATTTCCAACTTAGTAGGATAGGCAGCTGGAGTAACCATCTTACCTTCCCTGGGGTTGGAAGCGATGAGATGGGGTGGACTCAGAAGGACACAACACCAAAGGCACTCACATCATGTTCCTTCTACAAGGCAAAGAAAAACTTAATACTGTGCACAGCAGAGAAGCAATAATGTCTGTGTAATGACCATTCCAGTATCTGTCTGTCTATCACATTGCCCTAACAAGTTCTCTCAACTTTCCAAGAATGCTGGTTTAGGAAGGGAACATGGTACAGTGATTAGAGCTGTTCCTCCAGTTGCGTGCCAGCATGCCTGACATGGCAGACACTCCAGCTTCATCCTTAACACATTTTCCAGTTATTTCTACATGAGACATGATAAGAATGAAGTGTCAGTGTCTGCCTTGGCTTGTGAGCCATTGGGCAGCTGAAGCCTGGAAGAATCCCTCCATGAAGCAGTGCTTGGAGAGCCATACTTCTGGCATTGACTGCACAGAGGATATACAGCCAAGGATAAATTGTGAGGTCAGAGCCTTATTCATGCCATAGGACACATCTGAGGATCTAGGAAGGGTCCAGGTTCAGACTGCTTGTCATCTCATCTCTCCAGCCAGCACAGTATGCTCCCAAGGACCCTCACCCATCAGGAGTATTTCCATGGAATGGTGCTAGCAATACTATTATTAATGAGTGATCATTCATTTAGGTCTGACAAGGGCTGAGATCCTCAGATAGTGTGGGAAAAGCACAAAGTAGCTATCATGCTACTTTTGGAGGGCAATGCCCTCCATGACCCTTGTCAGTGGAAAGAACGGCTTCTGTCCTCTGCAAGGCTTTCATCTAAAGCAGCACCCCAGGAGAAGCTGCGAGGTCGCTCTGAACCACAGCACCTTTTCCTGCAGAGATTCCTAGCTATGGTCTGGCCGGCTGTGGGCACCTTCCAGGGCCAGCACTGCAGCCCCATTCCCCGAGGTGCCTCTTACTCTGAGAAGCTCCCCATGCCGCTGCTGTTCTTTGCTAGGCATGCAATAGCTGTGAGGTTTTATTCAGTTTCTTATAGCTGGGTCCATCACTGTAGCATCCAAACCCACAAACTCCTCACAGCCAGCACTCTATCCATGCTGTTGAGGGAAATTACTATTGCAGTAGCTGTGACCACCCCAACAGCCACCGTTCAAATACCACCTTCTGCTGGGAGAGGTTGGGATCACTCTCGAAGTCAGCACCCTTGCTCACTCCGAGTTTTGAGTTTTTCACTAGGTGTTAGAAAGGTGGAGTCTCTTTTGTTTCAGAGTTTTGGCAACAAGAGGGGCTTAGCTGTTTATCTGGTATGTATCCAAGTCCTGCCACTCTGGTTAGGGTTATAGGTACCTGTATATCACAGAGTCACAGAATTATAGGAAGTTAGAGTTGGAAGGGACCTTAGGAGATCATCTAGTCCAACTTCCTGCTCAAAGCAGGACCATCCCCAACTATATCATCCTAGCCAAGGCTTTGTCTAGTCGGGTCCTAAAAACTTCCAAGGATGGAGATTCCATAACCTCTCTGGGTAACCCATTCCAGTGCTTTACTACCCTCCTAGTGAGAAAGTTTTTCCTAATATCTAACCTAAACTTCCCTTGCTGCAACTTAAGACCATTGTTCCTCAATCTGTCATCTGCCACCCCTGAGAACAGTCTCGCTCCATCCTCTTTGGAACCACCCATAAGGTAGTTGAAGGCTACTATTAAATCCCCCCTCAGTCTTCCCTTCTCCAGAATAAATAAGCCCAGTTCCCTCAGCCAGTTCTCATAAGTCATGTTCCCTAGCCCCCTAACCATTTTCACTGCTCTCCACTGGACTCTTTCCAATTTGTCCACATCCTTTCTGTAGTGGGGAGCCCCAAACTGGACACAGTACTGCAGATGTATGTCTGCCTGTAAAGAAGATTATGGAGATGGAAGGCAGCAGAGGTCTGGAAGGAAAACAAAGGAATGTCAAAGGAAAATCAAAAGGAAGATGAAAAGGATGCCTGTGGCCTTTCATGCCAGGGCTCCATTCCCCAGTAGACAGCTGTGTTCACTTCACACTAGACAGTCCATCAGAAATGAATGAGAAGGGATAAGTGCCTGGGAGATTTGCAGGGGTTTGTCTAGACACAGCCTGCCTGCTGCAGCGAGACACTGCATTTAAACACACAGGAACATTTTCATCTTGCTTGTTTTTATTGCTTTGCTATAGGATTTCCCTCCCTGTCCTTACCCTACCATGCATATGCCCCCCACCCCCAACACACCTTAGCATCTCCAAAGCCAAGGGTGTGACATCTGACTAGATCCAATAACCTTGGGAGATGCCCTCACAGAAGAGGGATTAGACAGTGACACCCACATTTCCTCCCCATGGCAGATTTTATCATTAGGTTCTTCCCAGGCGTTTTGTGAGACAAGATGGGGGTGCCAATTCAAGCATCAAATTTAATTCACCAGGGGCTTAGGGACTTAAGGGCATACATCCTCCCTGATCCAGTCTCCCTTAGCTGACAAAAGCAAGAAAAAGTAACCCTGGGGAGGCCAGAAATAATTCAACCCCTGGGCAGAAGAGGGGTGAAAAAAGGATAGCATTGAGGTGAATCTGCGTTCAATTTCAAGCCTTTTGAGTTTCTCTGAATAAGTACTGGTGTAATGAAGAGCTCTGTTTTTTGCAGCTACCTAGCATTACTGAAAGGAGAGTTTTCTAAATTAAGTTTCTTTTTCTCTTTTTTGCACCTTGGCTGCATCTACATGAGGCGCTGACTGTGCAGTAGTGTCATGTGGCATGAAGCGGGATGTGACACTACTGCACAGTAGTAATGAGCTACTACGCAGTCAGTGTCACTTAAAAGCCATTCGGCGACCCTACTGCGCAGTAACTCCAGTTACTGTGCAGTCATTTAGTACTTGTGTATACTAAATGTATACAGTAGACCCCCGATTTACGTGATTCCAATTTACGCACATCTCGCGTTTATGCGATTTTTTTATTAGGGTCCGGACTGGAAAATGCTTCTCAAGATGTGCGTCATTCGCATATATACACGAACGCTCGCAAAATTTGTGTACATACACAGACACCTCACAAGATTTGCAGGCGGAATCAAGCAAGCTGTGCCGCCATTGTGGTATCGGCATCTCAAGTTACATAGGTGAGATGCTAGACGCACCTCCCAAAGGCAATTCTGCTGAGAAAAGGGGGGGAAAAAAAGCTATGACTAAGGTATGTCTGGGGTACGCAACCCCTCACTAGTCTATTATATCCTATGGGGAAAGTTGTCCCAACTTACGTGAATTTGACTTACATGAAATTCCCTCAGAATGCAATACTCACGTAAATCAGGGGTCTATTGTACAAGTACTAATGACCGCGCAGTAACAACTGTTCAGTCAGCATCTCACATAGACACGGTCCTTGTTCAGCTTGGGCTGGTACTACTAGGCCTGCTGGTTTCACTTACTTGACAGCTTCAGACTAGAGCACGACACGGAGCTCTAGCCCGTTGGGCTTCAGATCACTGCACCTCAGGGAAAATTCACACAGATCATATTCACCATTTTCAATCCTTTTTTAAAATTGCCATAAAGCTTGTAAGGCAGTAGGCCAGCTTTGCTTCTAAGATCAGCCTGGTTCTGTGGGAGCACGGCAGGTCATTCAGCTTGTAGCTGATAAAAGAGTTTAGCTCTGTAACCAACAAGAAGTTATAATCAGTCTCTCATAGCTCTTTCTATGTTGCTAACTGATGAGGCAGTGGGATCAGGTGGATGATAGGAATCCAGGAGAGGAACCTACGTCTTCTTTTGAAAAAGAATGTGGTCAGGTGGACTGTGTATGGACTGGGGAGTCTGGACAGCTGGAATTTAAAGCCAGGGCAATTCAAATTAGAAACATGATGGTGCCCATATGTAGCAGGGAGGGGAATTAGCCACTGAGTATGTGCTGGATTTTTCCACCTCTTGCATCTTCAGTTCAAGACTGGCTGCCCTTCCAGAAGAGATGCTTCAGTCAAACAGAAGTTGCTGGGCTTACGTCAGGAGTGACTGGATGAAATTCTCTGGCCTATGTTAAACAGGATGTGTGCCTGAATGAGCCGATGACCCCTTCTGGCTTTTCAATCCACAAATCTTAAGAATGGTAACCTTGGCGTTGTGAGGGAATTGTGCTTATTGATCAAAGCAGGGAAGTGCTGGGAGTCAGGGCTCTTGAGTTCTGTTTCTCGCCCTATCACTTATTTGCTGCATGACCTTGTGGCAGTCCCCTGTTTCTATGCCTTTGTAATGAGGATGTTAATATTTTACTCGCCTATCTCATAAGGGAACTGCAAGGACTTAATTAACAAATGGTCATGACATGCTTTGAGATCCTTCAAGAAAAGACGCAGTTGAAATACAAAGCAGTGCCTAGGACCAGCAAAGGGAAATAAATAACAGGGAGGGAAAATGGCAATATCATTTTCCAGTAATTTTCTTTTTTTAGGTCCTTTGCCAGTTTGAGGATGTGTGTGAACATGATGGGCCGGGAGTAATTATCATGGTGCATAAACGATGCTTATCACCAGGCAGCAACTTTGGGGAGGAAATTCTGAGGTATTTCTCCAACCTTTGGAACCAGAAGTAGCCTCAGTCCTTTTGGTGCCAGGTAGTGTAGCCACCTTCATGGTGCAAGGCTCTGCTGAAAGGCAGTCCAAACTACCTTGGGAGTAGAGCCTTGACAACACATCTGCTTCCCAACGAAGAGGCAATGTTGCAGTGCAGTCATGCTCATGGCAGCTTCATTTTGCAGTGAGCTAATTTGCATCAGCTAATTTGGGACCGTCTTTTCAAACCCAGGGCCAACATCTCATTTCAGGAATTTGTTGGGGGCAGTGGGACTTGGCCCCAGCATTTGGGACAGTTGTGGAGCATATAGGAAAGTTGGTTGCTTTACGTCTATCACATAGATCTTCATGCTGGCAGCATTATGTGCCTGCTTGCTGCATCCACCTGTCATCCTTTCCTAGGCATGACTTGAATAGAGAAAATGGTGTTTTATTACCACATTAGGTAACATAGTAACTAACAGGAAGCAAATTGCAAGTGAAGGCAAGGCAGCTTGGAGTTCTTTCACTTGCTGGCAGGTGTGGGGAAAGATCAGGTGGCTGCCTAGGACACTACTACTGAAGGCAGGACCTCAGCCTACAGGCTCTTCAAATCAGAGCCCATCCCTTCCACTCCCGCACCTCCTGCAATCGGACACCACTGCATGTGTGAGAGGATGTGAAGGAAACAGGTAAAAGCACTCTCCCGTTCATTCCT